ATACATTAAATAAAGACGCCCCACAGCCCTCGCCCCAAAATATAGTTACACTCGGTCCACATCATTCATCTTGGATCCTGGTGACTTGCAACACCTCTTTCAAATGCGGAAATCGTTGCTCGCACCTCCTTTGTATCCAGTGATGGTGTTTCTTCGCAGCATTCAAGCGCAACATGACGCGTGTTAGTTGTCTGAGCCGCCCCAGGGTTTGCACTAGCTTTGGCCAGTTGATGCTTCTGTTCCTGTCTGCCTCTAGTCCGAGTTTATCGCCCGGGATCAGCCAAAAACTGAACGTTATATGCTCGATCGAGTTGGGAAGCTCAGCTAGCATTCCAATGACCCAATCGAACGAGAAGTGCCCGTGGCTCGGGTCCACAAGGTCTGCAAAATGTATTGACTTCAGGTTGATGTTCCCATGGAAGAAGGCGGCGCTGATATCACCTGTGAGCACCAATGAAGGTGAGCACGGGGTTTGTTCCGCGGAAGCTCATGCGACTCACTTAATCTGTATTTCGCAGAAATGACGAGCGAGAGGAGGGATTTCCCCGCCGCCGCCAAGAGGTCCGCCACCATCATTTCGTATCTCATCTCGACCTCCTCAAGCTCGACCTCCTCCAGGCGCCCTTCGATGATTCGCTCTGAAATCAGCGCCACCATTGCTGATAGGATCGACGAGCTACGCGGGCCTAAATGTAATTTCCGCAGGTGCTTCAGCAAACCGCCACAGTGCGTGGCTCGATCAATGTCGAAGGGGTCTTTCCATGAGGTGTTTGCTAGTTTGAAACTCTCAATCATGGGCAGTTGCCGTAAGAGCACCCCGAGACCCGAGCAGTCAATCCGACAGGATGTAATTTCGAGATGTGTGACATTGAACGCACTGTGGAACCAGTATGGGTCAGGCATGGCGTTGTGCCAGTTCGACAGAGAAATACTGGTGAGGTTCCGCAGGGTGGCGAGCGCACTGAGGTCGTGCTGCCACTGTGGAGCTACTTCGGAGCGCAAAGAAATGTCGCGGATGGATGTACGGAAGTAGGAGTTGGGCTTGGCGATTTGTAGGAGAATGCGTTGAAGCGATTTGGTCGGGAGGGAGAGATCGAGGTGGAGATAGGCGAAGAGATGATACCTGCTCCTGGGCTGCCACGATTTGCATACGAGATTGCACGCCTTGAGAGTGCTGACGTCGGCATGAAGGTAGTCAATGACGATGTCCACCAGCTCCGAAGGGAGGACTAGGGGAAATTTGGACATTTTGACTTGAGGTGGGGTAATAAGGTTAGATGACGCTGATCTTGACTTGACTTTATAAGCACTTACGCCTCAGCACAGCAAGGGCGAAACGCGGACACAGCCAGGTTTGATCACATCGCCTGCAGTTGACGCCGATTTTCGAGACTGCTTGCTCTGATTGAGAATCGTCTTCTATCCGGACCACAATGGGTTGCATAATGCTCCGCGAACGAAGGCCATCATCTCACATAACCCCAGACTATCCATAAAATCACAACTGGAGCTGTATTTGGACAGCGGACGCGCCATATACGACTTCGGGCGCATTTGATATCTCTGTGTTGCATTGTCATATCTTTTGTCAACGAATAGACCGGGGACGTTTTGATATTACCACTCGCTGAGACATCAAAGCGAAGTTTGCCGCCATCTAGATCAGAAATACATGAGTCTAGAAGGGATACCCAAAGTAGAGAGCGAGAGTTGCTTTGTCGAGGGATCGGAAGGTTGACCATCTCTCGGAGTATGGAGGGGCAATTTATTGATTCGAACCAAGGGCAGTGAAGCCCAGAAAGCTGCCACTCTGCGGGATTCTTTCTCGGCTCAGCATTTGGCCTACGTCGAACCATGGAATTCCCGACTTATGATGTCATTCTTCAATAAAGCCGCATGCACGTTTCACAGAAGTTGTCCATGTGGCGGACAGCTTTCGCCCGCAGGCAAAATAGTGAGCGCACTTTCCGGTCCTCCGGAATGTGGTTTTGCAGGTTAACCCGGACGAAATGCCCCTTAAATAAACAGATGGATGAAAGTCGTGGATCTGGCATGGCGCTGGTCTTCCATATTCGTGAAACGCCGTGAATCAGAGGTCCTAAGCCTTGAAAAGGCCAGAACTGGCCACACAGTGGTTGGTACCCATCTCGCCAACTTTGCGATGAATATTCCCCTGACCTGAGATGTGATACATGTTGGATACACGTACCAGAACGTAATGATAATGAGTCACGGGTGCTTCTATTTACGAAAAAGCTTTTCGTGATTTGTTAAAACGGTGACCGGGAATGGAAGACAGATATGTTGGTTCAAACCAGTGAAACAGGAGTCGACCACGAGTGGCCCTTCTGACCTTCTGATAAGTAGCAGGCTGTGTATTTTGAGGCTCGGGATATGGACTTGACTTCCGAGCCTTAGAATCTGATACTTTCCAGTCCGCTGAGAGAATAGAGGAAAAGCGAGGAGAATATTCAATTTTCGACATCAGTTAGGATTACCGGATATTAGACGGTGTAGTAAGAATATCTTATCTTTGCATAGTCAGTGACGCCAACACGATTAGGACGCAGATACCGCACCTATATGTACAAGATTGTTGGTAGTGAAAGACACAAGAGGCCAATTCCACGTCATGAGGGTGATCATTCTGACTGGGGAGGAGGTGGAGGCTCGGTCAAAGGATTTTCCTCTCTAGCTTGCTGCAGCAGCGTGTCCAAGCCCTTTTCGTTCACTGCTTTCTGAAATGAGAAGCTTCAAGTTAGCTTCTCCATTCCTAAAATATCAATCACAGGGCGACGCACCTGCACGCAATGGCGATAGCTCTCCCAGACCTTTCCGCATTTTTCGTTGAACTCTGCCGCCTTCTGCCGGGAGTAAGCCTCTCGTTGAGCAGGAGATTCCGAGGACGCTGCCACTGCGGGCTCGAGATACCCTTCAAACCATGCGTTAAAACAAGAGTCGTACTCTAGCTTGAGAGGGGTGCATTCTGTAGAGAGGCTGTGTGCCATGTTACCTCTGCAAGCCCGAACTTGAGGTTTGCGTCAGAGAGTGATCAAGCCGGGTTCCGTGATGGACGGCGGGACCGTACCGTAGACGCGTGTCTGATCGCGAGTTGAAACAAACAAACACGCGTCCATTTTTGGACGACTCAAACTTATTTGCGATTGCAAGGAACGGTTTGTTTATAGATTCAAAGTCAAAGGGGTACGAATGCCTTGTCAATGTAACACGATCATGATCAGCCTTTGAGTTGACCTTGAACAAAGACTTGACAAAGATTGAGGTTCTGCGTTATAAACCGCTCAAATCCAGCAAAGCAAAACATCATCAACCTGAATGAATCACACACTGCAATACCAAGATCCAAATGTCCAGCTCCCCAAGCTATCCATCTACATCTTCATATTACAGAACCGAGCAAAAAGTGGTGATACTTAGAGAGCGGCGAATTTTTGTCATCCTTGTCTCTGCCATCACCTTCCTCATGGGAAACATAATCAATGAGCCCATCGATTTCCGACTCCGTCGCCACCTTCGGAACCCAAGTCCGTTCCAACAGCAGCTTGCCATACTTCATTTGCTCTTGGCCTTCCTCCTGCTGATCATTTTGGTTTATATCTGGAGGGGCGGATGTGGTACGTGAGGTCCGAGATCGGGTCGACTGAAGAGATGGAGCATTCGGCCAAGGAAGCGGCGCTCATCCGGCGTTTGCAGCATGACAGAGTCACAGAGACTCTTGCGCGATGGCAGGAGAGAGATGATGAGCGCTGATTGATGGAGATGCGTGTGGAGGAGTGGAGACGAGATAGGGATTATTTTCAGGGGAAGGCGAGGACGGAGCAGATGTGAAGGAACTCCGTTTGAAAACGCATTGGAGCAGAGCTCTGAGATGGAGAAGCGCTCTGAGATGGGAACTGAAGGCCTGGAGATAGCTTCGCGACTGGGAGGCTACGCTGAATATAAAGAGGTCGTCAACGAGGTGAGCGCATGGTCACATAAGGGTATTCATTGAGCTCACCGATACAATCAGGCGGGATCCTCGATCGAGTCTTAGAGACGGGGGCAACTTCGATTACCTATGTAGATAGGATGCTGATTTGTCGAAACAATTTGAGTGACTTTCACGACGAGAAAGCACAACAAAAGGCACAACCAGCGATGTATAATCCTGTCTACATCGGTCAGGAATTTCAACAACTGTCGCCGGATCGTGAAGAACGGCCAATAAATATCGATCATCTGCGGTATTAAATGATTAGAGCGAATCGTCTAGAGTAGGATTGTACGAACCAGGAGATATCATCAATTCATGCCGTTTTGTCCGTATCCGCATAAACCGTACTTCGTCCTAAATTCAAGTCAGCATTTCAAAGCTTTCAAATATGAATCACGCACTCCGTCCGTCTCCCCAGCATGAACTTCCTCCAAACCGCCTTGCACGCTTTCTACGATCCGCCCTATAACTGTCGCGTACTTGCGGCCTTGCTCACCCTCGAAGATGACTCCTGAATGTCGGATGATGCTGACTGGATGTCCCCTTGACACGAGCATGTATCCCAATACTGAGCGATGTGAGGAGAGCATAGCGAGCTGAGCTTCAAGCTCTGGTGGCATCGCTGACGATGATGATGAGTTACTCGACGGGTTTTGGACATTTGGGTGCGAAACAAAGGACGTTCGGGCGGGGACCGCCGCATTTGTAGACTTCAATCGTTGTTGTAATTTATACGAAGATATAAAGAAATTGTGAAGAACATACCATGGCTGGTCTTAGCTGAAGTCGAATGAGAAATTGGTGATGGTGTTTGGTCAGTGGTCACCACATTGGATAAGTTCACGTGATCACGACGCGTCTTCCCTTCGACGCGTTGGCAGGCTCCCTTTACGTACTGTTCCGCTGTGAATAATGCAATTGAGAGACTGAAAGGCAATGTCGCTAGCAGGCCTTTTGAGCATCAACAGTATTGATTGAATATAAATTTAACACCTACAGACACAACGGTGAGATGGCCGAGCGGTCTAAGGCGCCAGACTAAGGATCAGGGTAGTTGCTACCCAAGAGGGGGATGTCCCTCTTCTATCTGGTCCTCCGGGGCGTGGGTTCGAATCCCACTCTCATCAGATCTTTTCCTTTTAGTTAGAAAGGAGAACAGGAAGGCCCCTAGCAATATCTTTTGTCAAACCGAGCAGCGCAAAAGGTAAGCAGAACATGAGATATCTCTCGTTCAAGTTAATTTTAAACATTCCACAGACTCGAAAATAAATAAATGTGTACGTTAAGGGTTGGGGTAAATGACAATAACGAGACAAAAATACAGTAGGAGTAAATACTTGATACATACTTGATACCAACACAATAATTAGAAGGCTTTAAAACGAGGAGCAATTATAACGTCCAAGGGTTTAATATGGCTAAAGGTAAGCTTTAGTAACGCAATAAATGATATAATGGATTCAAAAGACTTACCTTGTGATTCCCGAGGTGAACTGAACCTCAGGACGAGGCTTCCCAGAAGGAAGAGAGATGTTGAATTCAGAAAGAATGCCGGCCATGGCCAACAGCATCGTTGTTTCCGCAAAATTCATACCTGACAATAATTCAAGTTAGAGCGATAGTCAAGTCATGGAACACCAAGCGGACCTGGGCACGTTCGCCTCCCAAACCCAAAGACATAGACCCTAGGATCAGGCTGGCCATTCTTGTCAAAGGATGTAAATCGTTCGGGGTCAAAATTGTAAGGCTCAGGATATAGATCTGCATTATGCAGGATTGACCTTCACAAATTAGTTTGACACTGTCTGAGAAGTCGAAGGAACATTAAAATACATACCAGACATTGGCCATGACAGTGGCGTTCTTAGGGATCCGATAGCCCTGATATTCGTCTTCTTGGGTGACGCGATGTGGAAGGGCTGATCAAAATTGAGCATGAAGAAACAGAGATATAATTCATATCTCACCTAGATTAGCGACTGGAGCATATCTAAGCACCTCTTTCATGACCGCCGGGAGGTACACAAGGCTATTGAGTTCAGATGGGTGGAGCGCTCCCCTCTGCCCAGTCAACGCGTCCAGCTCGGCTTGTGCCTTAGCTTGGACGGAAGGGTATAGCGCCAGGAGCATAACAAAAGACAGGAGAGCAGAAACCGTCTGATCAAAATAATCAGTTGCAATACATGCAATGCTCCAGGTCAAAACATACCGTATCCCCGGCACCTGCATATAGACCGCCCGCGCACCACTTGATGATGTCCTCCTGCTCCGCATCAACCATGTCAACGCCATTGGGACGGAGAAGTCGTGAAGTAAACGATTCGGTGAAGTTGCCCGTCACCTGCCAAATGGTGTCAACGTATATCAGGTACCAACGAGTTGGTAACAATTACCATCTGCTCCTTGACCCACGCGTGGGGAACGCCTGACAGAGTATTCAAGCGTTGCCGCCACTCCTCCCCTTGGCGCTTCCAGCCTGTCCCCGGGAAGAAGGAAGGGATAAAACGTACTATCGGCAGCTGCGTTACAGCAATTGTATCCACCTCTCAAGACGATGCTCACTTATGGGGTAGTAGTCTACGAGCCATTTACCGGGGGCGGTTGCCAGGCCTGATATTCTCGAGCCTTCTTCAGCGACCTTGGTAAAATGGTCATCCGCAGTCACAGTATAGCCGTACGCCATTTTCATAATAACAGCAGCTGCGTTCCTGAAATAAATTGTGAATGGGTGTCCAAGATCATTGAAGGCTCGAGAGCTTGCCTCCTGATGTGCTTTTCGTAATCCTTGGGGCTCGTCGCGAACCCATTGAGAAGAATGTCTAGCTCGGATTGAAGCAATGGCCAATATTGCTGCGTGGCGCGAGCGTTAAGACCAGTGTTCAAGAGTCTACGATATTGTTTGTGTCGCTGGTCAAGAGATGATATATTAAATATCGCCTTTCCGCGTCCACACACATCGTTGAACATGGGGGAGTTTGGGCGATCAGAGTAGATATTCGCGCGTTTCTCCAGAAGCTCATACACGGCAGAAGCATCGTTCAAGACGACAATCTGTCGATTGTACACGCGAAATGAGATGATCGAGCCTAAAAAATGCGCGAAGTTCGGGTCAGTGTTCAACGTAGGAATGGAGAGAGAAGTCCCACTTGTAAAGTGATGCGCCCAGATGTCATAGAGCTTCCATGGTTCTGTGGTACCAAGTAAATGTTTTACTCCCGAGAAGAAATAACCCTGAGGTCCAGGAGGCAGGGGTAATCGCTTTAAAGTCCGTGATATGCAAGACAGTATGCCCAACGAGAGAATTATACCCCCGATAAGGTGGAGGGGATGAGGATCTATGGTCAACATGAATTGTGAATCGGTTAGGGCTCACGGCAGTCATTTATATATGTTCGTTTCGGCGCTGTGCAATTGCTATTATTGCAGTAGATCTGTGAGTCAGTTATCCTTGATTGCGGACCCCTCTCCCATCCGACCGACGGCGATTGCGGCTCGATAACCGCGGAGGTGTCTTATTCCCCACCAGGAGATTAACGGAAAGAAAGCCTTGATCATTATTAATTTCGGAGGCGACCACTGCGAGTCACGGAATTCAAGCCAAACTTTCAAGGATAGATGTGGTCTTTTGACTTCTGGATATGGATACGCCAATATGCAGGCCTAGTAGGTGTTAGAAGTGAGTCATATGCATATGGGGGACCTTAAAGCGGTGTAGAATTGGTGTAGAATGTAATTGTTCACATTTTGTGGGGGAGGCGCGGCGTGGTAAACTCCTGTGATCAGATGAGCCCCCCTGTGGCCGAAGAGGCCCGAATTGAACGGCCAAGAAGTTATATCCCACGTCACGCATCACCAACCCCCCATAAATTCAAATTGTACCAAATGACACCTGTCCCGCGTCCTACCCACTTGCTTGTTCAGAACTATTCAGCCGACTACCTACTACATGAAATTTTGGCTCTCCGGGGCCCTTTTCTGGAGCTGTTTAAACTTTTCGAACGCCGGGTCAGCAGCGAATAGATCAAAATGGTACAATAGTGTAGAATGCGCCCCTCTCCGTATGAAACAGTCCTGTTGCGATGACCAAGGTAGAGCTCCCCATGTTTGATCTCCAAAATCGCAAACTTAATTTTGTTACATTTGATTGCTGATTCGTTCCGAGGGTATCACTATAAGGTGGAAAAGCATTACTGTACATGGATTACAAGTTATACTGTACAACAATTAACGTTCAGTGAACCGCTGTTGGCACTGTAGGATTAATATCCGAGAACACAAGCAGAGACGCGGAGCGCCAATTACTTGAACAAGCACTTAAACGCCCAACACCTCCGCCACGTTATCATGCCGAGGGGTCATTTTTACACGAAACGACACCGGGGACCGACCAGAAAGTCCATCATATTCCTTAAGATCAATGGGTTCTCCAGGAATCTCGTTCATCTTGAAGGCCCAAAGCATACGGGCAATGACCAGGAACACTTCGCGCTCCGCAACCCATATTCCCGGGCAGATACGCCGTCTAGATATGACCGTGATAGTTGAGCATAGGATGATGAAGCAATAAGGGATACGAACCCGACGCCAAACATCCAATGGTCACGCTCGTACGGATCGGCCAGGTTCACCGATTCTGATGATAGCGTGGAATCGTTGATGTAACGGTCAGGCTACAACGGACAGCTCAATTCAATGCCTTGGGGATGGAGTATAAATACGGAGGCTCCTTACATCAAAGGTATGGGGATCAGGATACCGTCGAGGGTCGTGGTGCATAGTATACTGATTGAGGCGAGTGTTAGGCGCCTATAGCTTATCAAAGTTACTGCATGCACTGGCTTACCGTATTCAATATGACAACGGTATCCTTTGGGATGAAGTGTCTACCATAAGTGACGTCGTGGGTGTTCACATGAGGTGTCCCAAGCCAGAAGGGGTTATGAGTACGCTCGACTTCCTGCAGATCGATTGATCAAATCAGCGTTTCAAGGCCCAGAAGAAGCACGAAGTAAAGCTACCTTGATGATAGCATGTATATACGGGAGATTCTTCTCATCTTCGATTGTGGGCAGACGGCCCCGGCCAACAACACGATCAAGCTCGGCGTGTGCTTTGGCTTGGATATCAGGATACGCTGGAATGAGTGCCGAGAACCATTGCATGATGGAGGCAGTCTGGGCTCCTGGGTGAGATAGTGGGCAGAGAGAAGCGCTTAGAACTCACAGTCTCCACTCCACCGATCATAAAGGCAGAGGCGAGAATAGCCATGTCCACATAGTCTAGCTCCTCCTCCTCCTTGGTCAAGATCATAGTCTTAGCCAGACAGTCAGGGACAGTTTCACCACGCTGGAGCTTCGATTCGATGTCGTTAAGGAGGCCCCCGTATGTCTCCAATAGATCTGAATGGAGCTGTTTCCCTCTGGTGATCATGTAATTCGGAACGCGTTGAAGTAGTGGGATGAAGTCTGTCAGGTTAGATACCGGTCCGGTCGTATTCCTGCATGGAGAAAGATGGTGTCAGACTTTGTTACGGCGAATGATACGTTCAGTGTACGAACATAAATTCGCGCGACAGCCTGAGAGCTATCCCCACGAGGGGGTCTTCAATGGTACCTGTACGCATGCCGTAAACGATCGTGAGCATATTGTTGAGCGAACAGCGACCAGCGTGTGGTTGAGGGTTAATGGGTTTCTTGCCAGCGTTGCCGTATCTGTAGAGTTCCTGTACAAGAACCGTAGCCTCGAAGTCCAGCACGTGAGTGTAGTCGTCTACGGCACGGGCATTTAGAGAGCCAGTTGCGATGCGACGATGTTTTCTCCTGGAGGCATCATGAGCGTAGGTTCTCCAAACAACTTTAATTAGAAGACATACCATCTGTCGTTGTAGGGGGTAGCGGTGATTCCACGTCCAGCGAAAATAGTCTGGGACTTGAGGAACATTTCTTTCCGGGAGGAAAAAATAGCACCGTTGGTAACCATGAGATCTTTCACTATTTGTGGATCAGAGATGACCACAAAGAGCTGATTCCCAAGCCACATCGAGTAGAGGGGGCCAAATTTCTTCGCCCAGTAGTCAAGAGTGAGTTCGGGATAATTTGTAAGAAACGGGAAAGACCCTGAGTAAGTG